ATCTAGTGTCTCTTGTTTTAGAAAGGTCAGCTCTTCCTCACCTAGCAGTAATCAATTGCCAATATTTCTTCAGCTAAGATTGGGGTCTATATATATGTGGCTGGAGTGGTCACAGATCTTAGAGAAAACCCCAAGGCTGTCACATCCCTAGACTAATGTGATTTCTTACTATGTGCAAAATATGTATCCTTATATTTACAGACAAATATCCCAGTCCCCACTCATCAAAGAAGCTTATTTTGCACCAGTCAGAGACTATTACCAAGTACCACAACTGGCCGCATACATTGTCTATGAATTTGGGGGTTATTTTTGTTTGTTTGTTTGTTTGTTTGTTTTATCACATGGTCTCTCCCTAGTCCCAGCCCGCCTGGAACTCACCATATGGACCAGGCTGGCCTGGAACAGAGATCTGCCTGCCTCTGCATCCTGAGGTACTACTATCATTTTTAAGACAGAAGATTCCTTGGTGGGTCAATTGTCGCCTTTGTGTCAGAAATGCAAATCAATACAGGTATGGGCAGGGTAGGTAGCACAGCTGGGTAAGCAGGCAGAGTTCACAAAAAGGAGGCATGGGGCCTACAATATCCTGGGAAGGAATGTCACATAAACAGCAGCATCCAGGAACTCCATGGAGCCCAGGAGTGTGGATTTTATAAGGCTCGGTGCTTCACAGAAGTGCCCCGCCACAGTACTGTGGCCACTGACAAACGTGTGGAGCATATATTGCCTTAGCTCCCAGGGCACCATTGATGCCCCCCTACCCAACCTGTATCAGCAGCCCCGGCTCCACGAGGTGGAGAGACCAGAGAATCTTCTCAGAGGAGACTAGAATCCTGTGTCAAACCCATCCTGTATTTACCATGTATGTTTTACTCAATGACTAACATTTTTACCAAATATCTTAGGGTCAGAATACTCTCTGTTAGTATGAAACGAATGTGCTTTTTAAATGCCTGTCCAGAAAAGGAAGTGAGAGAAATGACAACAATGGAACCTTATCATGTTAAGAATCCTAGTTAAAATAATAATTAAAAAGAAAACTTCAGCCCAATATCCACTTAAATTGTATTTATCTTTTTTGTGAAAATATAAATCATCGACCTGGTATTTCCAAGACTTTACTAAATTATCTAGCATATTCAAATACCTCCCTCTCTCTGTCTCACTCTCTTTTTTCCCCTGGTCTTTGAGGCAGGGTCTCCCTGTAGCCCCAACTGGCCTGGAACTTACTATGTAGACCAGGCTGGCCTCCGTTGACAGAGATCTGCCTGCCTCTGCCTCCTGAGTGCTGGGATTAAAGGTGTGTGCCACCACGCCTCACTATTAAAAGCCCCTTTTCTTATGTGTATTTTTTGCTTGACATTAAGTAGACAACACTGCCTAAATCAAGAGTAAGAAGTGGTATTTCTGTATCAGGAAGAGCTGATTCAGTTTCAGGAAGAACTTTGTGGAAATTTCTTAGCTTTCTTCATGTGCAGGAAACTACAAACTAGAATGTAATTAACCACCTTTAAATAAACTCAAACACTTTGGGTGTGACAAAGTCTGGGAAAATCAAGAATCATTAAATTAGAAAAAAAACTAAGGATAAAACAGAGAAGCTTGAAAATCTCTCTCAGTAGTAGGAAGAAAGATCATGAAGAAATTTTGCTACAAATGACTCGGTTTTACATTTTAGACCTTGTTCCACCAGAACAGAAAGAGCATTTGGCTAACTTCACTAGACATATAACCACATAAAACTTAGCAGGGAAGGAAATTCTTTGCACAGTAGAAGACCCAGATTTTTTTTGAGGTTTGAAATAAAAGATGTACCGTGGAGTCCAGAAAGTACAGGAAAGATCCTGCCTCGGTGAGAACAGAAACCCGCTGGGCCCCATTCATGTTCTCAGTGACCTTTTGCCTGAGCAGCCCGAGAGCAAACTGGTTTCAACTCCAGCTCATGTCCTCACTGAAAGTGCTAAACTGCAAGTGGGTTACCTGGTCTAGGGAAGCCTCGTGGGTGTCTGTACCTTTTCCCTGTTTGCCTTGATTCTGCAACACCATCCCCTTAGGCTACCCCTGTGGGGAGAAGTCTCAGTACACGTTCCTTGTCTTGCTTAAAAGAAGTTGGTGTGGAGAAACGAATCAAATGAATAGCACACGTTAGACCCCAGCAAGATTCAACATCAAGATGTTCCTATTAAGAGTAACAAAGTTACCAAAAAGGATGCGGTGCCCCGAAAAGGATGGCAGCTGTAGGGAATGTTTCAAGTACCAAGAGATGGCTTTGTTGGCAGCTGTGAAGGTGGGTACAGACAGCTGAACTTGAGGGCATGAGCTAAGCTGGGATACCTAGTGTCCTACAATCCTTGTGAGACTCATGAAAGGTAAGCCCTGAGACACAGAGGCACCAGCAGACTGGAAAAACAAACAGTGGGAAACAGCTTCTGATCGGCAGGCAGAAATTGTAGAACATGTCATAAAATTTGGCCCAATGAAATAACCTGTTCTTTTT